TATCGTTTAACGATTTAACAAGAATAGGTAGATGCTATTAGCTCGTCGGTGCTCGGCATTACTCGACACGCTGAGCAAAATTACCTCCGTAGTGGTTCCCTCATCAGCTCGTCTTGGTGTCTTCACGTAGTGGTGGCACGCATACTAAAGCATTCGCCTTCTTAATGCGCTAGTTTCACGAATAATAAAGGCTGCCTCTGAGCACATCGCACGAGGTGAGTCGCTCAATGTTTTTTATGTTGGCTCACTTTTCTACGTATCTAATACCGGTGTCACACGGACACTGTTAATCGCAGTTAGTGTCAATCCGAATTGACCACAATCTGGATTAGGTGCTGCTACACGGTCACTTTTAATCACGATCAGCTGCGATCGGGATAAAGACTATCACGATCCACGCTTCGCGATCTTCCCGATAGATGGTAGTATATAGGCGTTCTGTGATCTGCCTGAGACATCGCCATTTCGCTGTCTTCTGCCCCCACCCCTCCCCTCTAGCTGAGCTTGTTGAAAGCCCAATAAACAAGAAATTCAAGCATAGTTGAATCAGAACATGTTAAAAAGCTGTATGTTTATGAAAACGAACTTCTAGACCGTTCAAATTGGAACAATATCTGGCATATCGCATATTTTAAGTTTCATACCGACCGGATGTAGTTGCGGGAGTAGCAGACAAGAAGGAGACGACAAGCAGTCAACCGTTGCCTTCCGCGCTAACTTCAACTCTCGCACCGTCGGAGCTGTTGGAGCACCTCGAAGCAAACTGATTATTGGTATCGCAATCGTTTCAATTAGGTCACAACGTATGCGCACTTCGTGGTCGAATGAAGATACCTTTACAGTAATTGACCACTGGCAGGAGCCACTGGAAAACTTGAGGCGCCAGAATTGAAACTCTGGCGCCTATACAATGTGATTGACGCTTCGCTGTGGCTGAACGGCTACGAGCGGGAGCCATCAGAAATAAAAGCGAATGTTAAGAATTTCACACGGCAATACTGGTAAGTGCAAGTAACACTCTATCGAATGGTGGATTAATGAAATTGCTCTTGTAGTGGCACGAAAAATTTTTGACGTTCCAGTGGTTCTTGCACGAATAGCATTGCTGATAAAGGGCTCTATATCGTACGCTGACTTTTGTCAGTGACATGTTTTACGGCACGCAAGTGCCACCTGGTGCATTTTATTTGACCCAAGCTCGAACCGAATTACCTTGGGCCGCGTAGCAGCGGTCATAAAGTTGATCGCGATCCAAGAAAACTGATCTGGATCGCCCTGATCGCGATTAAAAGTGCCCGCGTGACATCGGTATAAAAGAAAACAAACGAAAAAAAGATTAGAGAATACGTCGAGTTCAAGATGTCAAAACAGTAATTGATGTTACGGTCATAAATTTTCAAAGCAGTTATTGATGATATTGTCCATAAGTCCAGAAACCTAGCATCTGTTGTTCGATCTCGCTTTCCTTTTTTCTTCTCTCACGTACGCATTGCTTCCAGCATGCGCCATCAATTGCGAGTAACACATAGCCACACCTGAGGTGTCGCTAAGTGCGTTTCTTTCCGTGAATGCCATTGACAATGAGGTTGTTTTTTTTTTTTTTCGCTGAGCGCTGTATAGGACGCTACTTGAATTATACCTCTCGAATTAAAGATGTGTCTCGAAGCGGCCAGGTATACGTACGCCGAATATATTATTTTTGTTTTCCTACACTATAGTAGACCACGCAAACCAGAACAAAAAAAAAAGGCAGAGCGAAAAAAAGAAAAGTCAGGTCGAAGACTGGACTCATGAATGAAGCGGAGGAAACCGAGTGCTCCGAGCGGGCAGTTGCGTTATGACATTGTAGTGTATCTCATTTAGAAGTGTGTTTGTCAAGGCCAGTGTTATGACATACAGTCGCACGCAGGCAATTGATTATTTAGCACTTGTAATGTACATCAATATGTCATTGTAATCTTAGCTCTGAAGGGCCTGCAAGAGTGCCATGTTCGGAAAGCGATGGCATTTTCGAATTATATTGCACATTGAGATGACACTATGGGAAGACCAATTTTTAATTGCTTGTCATTGTTCTCCGTGCACCACCTAAATATTCGTTCCATAACCGAGGCAAGTTAGAAACAAACAAGGGATGGTTGTTCTGCTTTTTCGTTAGATATAATTTATTGTAAGCCCCTCAAGTAGACTCATTCTAAAGACTTTGTATGAAAGACCAAATGTTCACAACGTCTGTTCACAAAATGTTAATTGAGGGAATGACCCGAAAACAATTCTAGATCATGAACAGCGAGGGGGGAAAAAAGCCAGTCTAGTCTCGTGTTTTGGAAACGTTAGACGTTATCCGTCAGCTTGGGACCTTAAGGAGCACTGATGTAAAATTGTGACGGATATATAACTTGTGGGTTGTATTTGTGCGGACACAAACGCATCATAATCAAAATATTGACGACTAGTATTGCGTAGACTATTTTTGAAATGTTCTAGCGCGCGCACCGCAGCACTGCACGTAAAGCGTCCCACTTCTCGGCATCGACAAGAACTTCGCTTTGTTATAAGCAAACAGCGACTTGCATCACGATTTTGTGTTGGCTGCCACAATCCTTTCGAGCGCTCTTTCCTAACAGACATTTTCAACGGAAAGGGAAGTGGGGGTCGCCTTCTTTATGTACTTGCACGGGAGTGTGAAAACTGGTGGCTGATCAATATACATTATCTAACTGCCTGTTTTGCGCACTCAAGCGATAGGATAATCGCGGCACATGTCGAAATAAATCTTTGCCCCCGTCAAAAGTGCACGCTCTACTTCACTATACGGGATAATGAAAACCGAATTTGTTGCCTCCGCGGTGCCTTTAGGGGGGGGGGGGGTTCACACGTATTCAAAATATTCCGGTGGTTGTGATAGCAGCATCAAGGGAACCTTCGTTCAAAAGGATTGCCAACGCAGTGCTCATTTGAACGCGTTTTTTTTTTTTATGCTCACGCAGCCACCTATGTTTACAATAAAGTCACTCTGGGTCGCACTTCTCTCGGCGCTACTTAAAACCAAAACAGCGACTGGGAGCTATAAAACCATGTCCAAATAATTAACCATTTACCGAAGAATAATAACCAAACAATGTTTTCGAGCCGTGACAAGTGAGTCGTTAGCCACTTCTTGCATAAGGAAAAAAAATCAAGATTTGAAATTCGAAGTTTGAGTCGTTCTTTACAGGACTGAGAACGGGTCGGTTGCCCCTTGATGATGATGGGGGCAGCGTGGCAGCGGACGAAGAACGCGAGAGAGTGGGGCGAGGCAAACGTTGTCTAGTGTATCACGGCGGTGCTCGCAGGATTTCAAGCTGGACGGTTGTGCCCTCGCGATCTCCGACTTCAGCGTAGCTCCCGCCGACTGGTTCGCCCTCCGCGGTCTCCTGACGCCGTGTAGCTCTCGCATTGTGGCACCCCGCCCTTGGACTGCTTCGACCGGATCCCCACTTTCCTATCTCCTTCTTTTTCCTCTCGTTGGCTGTCTTCTTCTGCTTCTACTTTCCTTCTATCCTTTTTATCCCTCCTTCACCCCACCCCTATAAGGCACTGCGCCGTGTCGCCTGAAGGCAGACAGAAATTAGGTGCCTTTTTCCTCTTCATTGTAACCACTACCACCACCACTCTCTGTCGCTAACAGCGCAAGGCTCAAGAATCGTCTCTCACTTTCTCCGTCCTTTTTCTTTTTGTCGCTTGTCTGTGCTATTTTTTATCTACATCTTTCCACTATTCTTTTTCTCCCTCCTCCTTCCTCCCCCCTCCCCTACAAGGCACTGTGCCGTGTCACCTAAGAGGCAGACAAAAATTAGGTCCCTTTTTCCTCTTTTCAAGAACCACTCATTCTTTAGTCTCCCCACTTGGCGTAGCTCGGCTACCCTTTTTGTGTCATTCCGAACGACCCCGTCTATCCGCCTGTCCTCTTGGAGATTGAAGGAATTCTGCGTACCACCATCCTTTCACCCCACCTCCCCCTTCCCCGTTCGCTTTGGACCCTGCCTGATTACGGGCACCTACGCGGAGACCACTGGCACGGCCGCTGGATGGAAAAGCGCACCGCGTGCTTTTCGGGTACCATCCCTCCGTGCCTCTGCGCACGCATTCAGAAGTGGCTCAGTCGAAGCACGGCCCACAACGGTCGGTGGTCATTTGTCTTCTCTGTAGCCGGGAACGGCAATCTTGGTGCTTCAAGTGCAGCAATGCGATTGTTGGTGACACGGAAGTACAAGAGGGGTCGGACGCCCCGCCAGCAGTAGGATAGCCCGCTACGAATTCCTAGCTGTGCAGGTGGCGTGCACCCTGTAGTGCGCCGGTTGACCGAGTCGAGATGTTCGAGACTCTTTTGGACGCCGACTGGTTCTGCTGAGTGATTTAATCGGTGTCTCGTATTCACGGCTCTTATACGCGGCTGTACGCCCGCTGTAGCATTTCTTGCAGGAAGCTGCATTTTCTTTCTTTTTTTAATTTTAATACCTCAAATAATTCGCCATGGGTGTTACATAAGAAGAGGTTAATGTATGTGTGCAATAAAAGCAGGTGTTATTGTGTGATGCTTGTATGGGCAATGTGTAGAAATTGAGAATGACGTTTGCGCAATGTGTAGAAATTCAGAATAACGTGTTATGACAGCAGCATGGTGGGACAGGTCACTCCTGTTTCTTGAAGCTCGAGGAAAAATGAGGTTTGAAAACAAAAAAGCGAAGCGTAAATCCCATATCGTAAAGACAAGAAGCTCGCGCGGCAACGTTTGTCACATAAAAAGTTCCTCTCAGTGAACAGGACCTCGCCTCAAGGTAGCAAACAAAAGAAATTGCGAACCCCTATACAGTGCTTTCTGCTGCGACAAACTTCAAAGTGCATGAAACGTAGGCACGCGCTTCAAGACACAAAAGGAAAGCTCATGCACAGTTATAATAAGCCCCACTAGCTGTCCATGATAACCGTACCTTCATTCTTACTTGAACTGCACTCACCGGTTGCCGTAGCCGGAGCACTATGTTCTTCCATAGCACTAGCTTGAGCTGTGAACAAGCTCCCATGGCATGTGGGGCGTTGCAGGAGTCAGCGCCGTCTTGGCTGGCGGCGCTCGAACCGGGAAAGAACCTGCGGTGGAGAAGAATGCGCACACTTAGCAAACAGGCTGTACGGGGTGGGTGAACATTAAACGAGACAAACGATTAAACAAGGCAAAAGCGTATGCTTAATATCCAGTAAATAGGATAAAAAAGTGAGTGCGCGCACTTCAACTATAACATCGTAACCATCTTATCCCACTCCTCTACATTTTCACTTTTTTTTTTCAGTTTTATGTGCCTATGACCGGACTGTCATATGACCAGGATCAGCCGCGTTTATTTACGACGTCGTTTGTGAGTACACAAATATACTCTCGTGAAATAAACAAAACGCCATATTAGTGGTTATGTGGGTATACCATGTTTATGTACATGCGGCTATACAGCTGCAGAATACAACCATGGTTTTATACGCGTGTACACTTCCTGGTATCGCTCAATTAATGGTTTTGCAGGGGATCCTCACTACGACGTCTCTAAAGGCGTTTCAGGCACTCGGTCAATTTAATTCTGACGTACTTCGAACTATCTTTACTTTATGCGCATGCATTACTATACTATGACCGTCCACTTACGCCATCTCAGTTTTCCTGTTAACCAAAAAAAAAAACAAGAAGTATTGCACACGCACATTGTAACAATTTCAGTGCGATTAAAGCCTCGTGGGGTGAAGTAATACCTGCCTACTTTTCAGCCTTAGTAAAACAAAACGAAGGTACTCCTCGCACTGCAACACACTTCGGCTTGGAATCGCGTTCCGTTGGTCAGACATCCTACACAAAGATGTTCAGCTCTAGCTGTTTATTCTCTGGAGGAAGCCGGGTAAATTTATTGACATGCGGAGTTTAACGTCCCAAAACAACCATATGATTATGAGAGACGCCGTAGTGAAAGGGCTCCGGAAACATAGATCACCTGGGTTCTTTAACGAGCACCCATATCTGAGCATACGGGCCAACAGCATTTTCGCCTCCATCGAAAATGCAGCCGCCGCAGTCGGGATTCAATCTCGCGGACCTGCGGGTCATCAGCCGAGTACCTTAGCCACTATAGACCACTGCTGCGGGGCTGTACGCGTCCTGTGTACACGCTTCCCAGTGAAACATGTAATATCGCAGTAATAATAGCGTGGTAGAAACGTACATTGCGATACGGCGTCAGAAAATGTGATCATCATGACTTGATGGTTTAAAGCGGTCTACATACAGGAGGCACACACGCTTACTGCGTCTTTTTTTTTTTTCCTAAGGCCACATAGTGGGTGTCCTATAGCAAGCTCGAAAATATTTCACGCCCACAATTCGCCCGTCGTTAAAGCGCATGCTACCCATTACACAGAAATTGCAGCCGCATGCGAAAAGCTTCACTGACGCAAGCCACTTTGAACTCGGTATATGCACTATAGGACCGGATATCGCTATTGCGTTCAACCCAATTTTCGTTCAGCCTGGCAGAAAGTAAGTTTTTGATCGATTCGAAGCCTTCAAGTATAGCAGCACATTCGGACAAGCCCAAAATTCTCGTTGTTGATTCTTTAGCGCAACTCGAGCGCTAAACGTACACAGACACGCATGCGGCGCAAGTTTACATGCGGTCGTTACAGGAGGACACTCGATTTGCATAGCCAGAGTGAAGGTTTGGCGCGCGCTCTTCAGCGTTCTACATTATACGCAACCACCGAAGTGAATAACCAAGCATTTCCCCGAGGGTGAACATGGTTAAGTGCGAATACACGGGGTGATGCTATGAGGGGTATTTATTAATTCGCACTATTATATTTATTAATCACACTATGGGGCCTTTATGGTGTAATGGTTCCTGGGAATCGCAATTTGATCACACGGGGGAGTTTACGTTAACTCACTGGCGAATGCCAACGGATTTTAACTTTACTCCCCCTCACGACCCGCTCTCGACGGGAGACTGAGAGAGAAGGCGGGCGCGCGAGAGAGAGGGGTGCGCGCGCAGCTGCAGCGAGCGAGGAGAGCGGAGGAGCGAGTGAAGGGGGAGGGGGTATAAGGCGCGTTACTGACACCGATATCAGCGTCGCGTCCGTGGCTTATTCGGTAGAGCGTCGCGCTGCGGCCCGCCAAGTCCTCTGTTTTAAAGATAGAGAGAAGACTGCGGACGCCGCCGACGGCGGTGGATGGTTTGGGGTCGCTTATAAAGTGTATTCACACTTAAAACTGTTAACACGTGGTCACACCACCTGAGGTCGCAGAATTTATTCAGTAGCGCCGACGACACCCTGAGGGCAATTCCTTCGTGTTGTTTTCCGCCCGTCGTGACTCACGGCAAACTCAGTAACGCCCTTGTTGTGATGAGGAGTCTTGACAGCAACATGAGTTCTAGTGATAGACCGGATGTTATTCATGTTGTCGTGGGTGCAGCATTTTAGTCGGAACTTGGTCAATGAACTGGGCAATATTGTGTACAGCATGGTCTTAGCACCAGGGGGTTCGTCCTCTTGAAAAGAGAACAAGAAAAAAAAAACTACGTTTGCTAGAACAGGGAAGAGTATTTCGCCAAATAATTATTCGTAAGGCATTTTTTTTTTCTGGTTGTCACTGGCATAGGAACACGAAGGGGCCCCCAACCGGCAACACAAGCCTAAATACCCCGGAATAACATTGTGCACTCGAACAATTTGGGAAAACTTGCTGCTGCTTATATTCGGCAGTGGTTCAAGCGTAGGCGAAATTAGCTCAAAAATAAAAACCGGTGCTAATGAACAAAATGCTATACGTATTCGACACGTTATCTCTGTGCTAGTTCACGAGACGCGGTCAAGCTTACGCACATGGGACGACTTGACGTGACCACTCAGTCGAGTCAACATTCGGTTGCCGCGTTACATGGTTTGACCAAGTTATTGTCAAAACAATACGCTCGGTATCACCACGTACTCACAGCCTGTGTACGTCGATCCACAGATATAGCAGTGACCTATACACGATAAATAAATGCTTTGCGTACGATGTCCTACCGAGTTGCACGCACGTATTCATCGAGAGATGAACCATTCACAATGTATACGCATTTCATAAATACCAAGAAACTCTTGAAGTTTTCGACACATCTGCAGTGTCCACATAGAACGTTGTAACGGCCCCTGCACGACACTATAAGGTCGCCCACGTTCGACTCTCTATGAAAGCGCAGGACCTAAAGAGAGCCGTAAAATCCGCGCAAGCTTCCGCTATGGTATATTTATATCGTTCTATACGCGTGGAAAGCGCAGGCTTTTGCAGATGGCCAACCGGCAACGGCCTTGAAAAGTTGCTCTTAGAGCGTACATTATATTCATCATATTCGTTGTTCTTGCGCACTATGATTTCGAAGTACATCGTTTCTAAATTTTATTGTCAGAACGTTTCCTCAACTTCTTCCGGTTTCCTTTTTATAGATTACAGATTTCTATGTTTTCTTGTTGGCAAGCATTTTATTAACTCTCGTATAGTAGCTGCAAACGCTATGGTTTATGGTATGGCTGCAATTATTGAAAAGGACTGGGTGGCTAAATTTTGTAGGAGGCGGCATAAAATAGGCCTAATTTAAGTTATTGCTTATTGAAACATTTACGATGCCAAATGAGCTGATGTGAACTCAGAATTGCAGAGAAGAGGATCATTTTTTATTTACTACCGATAAGAATGCAATATCCTGAATTCGTAGCTAAAGTAAGCACTGAACGATAGAGCAACTTGCAGGGAAGAAAAATCGGAAGTTTTTCCCAACAGCTTAGAATAAAAAGATGCACCACACACTAAAAGCTTGGAATAAAATATCAAGTATATACACACTGCGTGCAACACAGAGTCAGAAAAAATCACTTGTGACACGCATTGCTACTATTCACTCATTCTCCAATAACTCATTTCAGAGCAAATCACTTTTGCTCACTATACGAAAGGGCCGGGACATTCATTAGTGCTTAGAACGGCCGGATGCATTGTTCTCGAGAAAGTAGCAAATCGAATAAGAGATTATAGAAGGACACATTGCGAACGAATACATAGACCCAACGAGGCGATAGATCAAAAAAAAAAAACCGGCATATCCCCGGAGTGAATGGTGATGAGTGGGGCGAAGCTTCGAAGGGTTTTATCGGTAAACGATGAATCGTTCGTCGGTCCGCTCATCCGTCCGCACCTGCTGAGTGTGTCATCGAACTAGGCCGTCACGCGTACGAGTTACAGGAAGGACAGACCCACGGCTTTACGAGCTTCGTCCATAATATATTCTCGTATTCGTTACAAAGCGACACTTTATCAATTTGGAGAGAAGCATTGGAACATTGCCTGCGAAGCTGATTCATAGAAACGAGTGGGTTCTGTTGTTGTTTTTTTTTTTGCTTTTAAACACGGCGTGTGGGTGCGTTTTCGAGCTCCAGAAAGTGCGCAAGTCTACATGAGCGTTTTAACGAGTACAGAGCAAACATTGTTGATTTATCGATAGCTGTTGAATTTTTCCGCATGTAAAGCGATATTGCCAGTGCAGACTGAAACCCCCCTCCAGTCCCTGCGTAAAGCAACAAGTGAGCGTTTAACTCAGGCATCAACGTTTCCTGGAGAAGCCTCTTAATGCTGAGGTGATGAGAAGTAGTCGAACTTAATATAAGAGCCAGTGTTTCGTCTAGTATATATATGTACTTGTTTTCGTGAGTCCCCTTGTTGAACCACTTGTCGCAGCGATTGTTTTTGTTCGACTGCTTCGCAAAACTTCAGACCTTCATCCTCTCCTGGCTTCCATTCTGTTTGGAGTTCTTTTTAGGGGCGAAGCTCCTTATAGCGGCACCCGTTCGTCCCTCATAGTCGTAGTCGTAGTCGTAGTGTGTAACCAGCCTTACGTTTTGACCTGCAAGGTGGTGCCGGTGGGAGATTTCTCCTGTGCGTTGTTGAGCAATAAAAAATTTGTAGCGTGCGCGTTAACTGGAAGCCGAATTCTCCTGTCTCTCATTCCCCATTAGCAGCCATTGGCATGTACATTGAGTACTATCTGACACGAAAGGGTTGCTACGCT